TGTCCCCCAAGAAGGAACATAATCCTTTTTTAAAAAAGTGGGATTTCCCTGTCCCAGCCCCCCTTCCCGTTCCTGTAGCCTCGGGAGCGCCTTCCTAATTGCTGGCTGGGACGCCGCCTCACCTGTGAGCCCTCAGTCAGCCCGTTAGGCCTTACAATGTACTTGGTTCACCTTTTGCTGCGTAACAGTATGAAAACGGCATCCTATATAACAGCGGTTCTCATCGAACGACCCTTTCACAGGGGTCGCCTAAAACCATCCTGCATATCAGATATTTACATTACGATTCATAACAGTAGCAACATTACAGTTATGAAGTAGCAACGAAAATAATTTTATGGTTGGGTCACAACATGAGGAACTGTATTAAAGGGCCAGAAGGTTGAGAATCACTGCTATATAATAAAGGGGTGATGTGCAAATTGTCTGTCATGCCCTCACAAGATGGCCGCCTACGACCAGGCCAGCAGAGGGGTTAGTGAAGGACAACCAAACGACCGAACAGCAGGCTGTGTGGGGTGACGAGGCCGGCAGGGAGGGGGCAGTTGGGGGTGACCTGGCCAGCAGCAAGGGGCAGTTGGGGGCCACCTGGCCAGCAGAAAGGGGGAAGCTGGGGGCTGTGAGGGGATGTCCAACTGCCGGTTTAGGCCCGATCCAGCAGTCGGACAACCCCCGAGGGGTCCCTGATTGGAGAGGGTGCAGGCTGGGCTGAGGGTATTCCCCCCCCCCCACCCCCCGCCCCGCCATGCATGAATGTCGTGCACCGGGCCTCTAGTATTTATGTATTTGTATAATAGTTATATGTACGATGCCTATAATTACAGTTTCTGTGCAACAGTCCCGTTGTGAGCATTGCATGAAATCCCATGAAACAACAGAAAGCCCTGCAAACCCGTTCAGGAGCTGGGGAGGCAGCGAGGCGGGGGCTCGGCTAGTCTCCAGGTACCAGGATAAACACCTCGACAATAATGGGATTTCAGGGAGGACCTAGGAGGGAAACACATGCAGGGTGATGCACTCGCCTCCTCGGCAGGATGACTGACGAGCATCCGGAGCCCATAGACGCGCTCCGTTACTGTCCTGTTTCTAAGGCCCCTCTGCGGACCGTGAAGCTCGGAGAGATCTGGCAGCTCATCAATGGCGCATGGATCGCTGGCCCCAGGTGACCAGGGGCCCTTCACCCTTCAGGCCGCGTCTCCCGTGGAGCTGGAATGGAGTGTGTCTAGTCTCCGCGACAGGTGACCAGGCGCCCTTCACCCTTCAGGCCGCGTCTCCCGTGGAGCTGGAATGGAGTGTGTCTAGTCTCCGCGACAGACTGAAAGGTGGTCCTGACGGCCTGGAAATGACAGCGGGTTTTAATATATTTTTATTGTTGATGGTCTTACATCTCCATCTGCCCCTCCCTTCCCCGCCCTCCTCCCAGCCCCACCCACCCCGGAAGGGAAAGTTCTCACGCTTTGGGGTCATCCTCTACGGCAGGCGGCATCGATCTGTAACTGGTCCCGGGTCGCAGGGAGAGCAGATAGAAGGAAGGACAGACTGACAGCAGGACCTTCCCTGCCCCCCGGCCAGACCCGCCCCAGGGGACC